TTCTCCCCTATCAAGCCCACAGCCTCAGAGTTCAGGTATATTTAGGACAGATTCTCCGTTCCCTGTATTTGTCATGTGAAACCAAATCCACACCATCTGAAGTCAATGTGTTGAGGGAAAATGGCCTGATCATGGGCTCGCCGATCCTTCCAGGTGGGGATCCAGGTGACACGGGCAGGTGAGTTCCTCCCAAGCCTTTCCACACACCTGCCAGGTGAGGGCTCCTCCTCTGTCCCTTTTCAGTTCGTGCCCATTGTTTGGAATACCGACTACAAATGTGAGAAAGCCTCCTCCAAGTGCAGAGCCGCGGAGGCCTGCCGAGAAACAGAAAACCGACCTGTGGGAGACATGAGGGGCTGTGCCTGAAGAAAGCCCCTCTCAGCCCCACGGACCGCAGGGGTTCTCCGTTAATTCCCTGATCAGGGTTTTGCTTCGATCTCCCCCCTCCCTGCCCAACCTCATTTTACATAATACTGACCCTTAATAAAGAAAATGATCATCTTACTAATAATAGTATAAATAAAAAATAATAGTATAAGTAATATTGTTTATAAATAAAAGAACAAAACTCCCTTAATAAATAGTTTATTTATGAGGATGTCGCTCACATTTACATAAAATGTGAGGTTCTGACTCTAGTTTTGTGAAACGTTGCTAGTTTAAAATGGAGACTGCCCTGAAACCTGGGCCCACGTGCCCACAGGGTCTGATGGTGGTAGGGTTTGCTCTCACACTGATGTTACTTTGTTGTTACTTCCTGACTGCAGCAAATCTGGGTCATTCGCTGATATTTATTAGGTTCTGTAGCACTATTAGGGAGAAGAGTGCCTTAGCATTTGCTCAAATCTCACTTCTTAGCCCTTAGTGCCTGTTACCTGTTGCTGCATAACAAATTTACCCAGAAACCTAATGACCTAAGGCAGTGATTTTAGTTTGCTCCCCTTGTGGCGGGTTAGGAGTCTGGACAGGAGTCCACTGGGCAGCTCGTCTGTGTGGTGTCAGCTGGAGTGGTTTGACAGGGGGAGGAACCACTTTTAAGAGACGCATCTACGCGGCCGGCTATGGGCTGGGAGCTCGGCAGGAACTGTTGACCGATGGCTTTTTCGGCTTCGTGGTCTTGAGGTAGTAGGACTTCTTTTTTTTTTTTTTTAAGATTTTTATTTATTTTTTGACAGAGAGAGACACAGCGAGAGAGGGAACACAAGCAGGGGGAGTGGGAGAGGGAGAAGCAGGTTTCCGGCAGAACAGGGAGCCCGATGCGGGGCTCGATCCCAGGACCCTGGGATCATGACCTGAGCCAAAGACAGTCGCTTAACGACTGAGCCACCCAGGCGCCCGGAGGTAGTTAGGACTTCTTACAGGACAGCTCAGGGCTCCCAAAGAGAGAGCCACGAGAGCCAGACTGAGGCTCAGACTGCCCCAGTGTCCCTTTTACCATATTCTATTGGTGAAAGCAGTCACAGAGACCAGCCAGCTTCAAGGCAAGTGTGAGGAGTATCACAGATCCGGGGCCACCTTTAATCTACCCTAAGAAAAAATTGCTAAGGGTCCAACACCGGCCTCCGAGATTGTATCCAACTTGGCCTCACAAGGGCTGAGAGTGAGCATGAACAGAATAGAGTTTGGACCCTGGTTTTGCTTCTGGGCTCGCTACTGGTACCCCAGTAAAATGATGAGCAAGTAGCAAATACTTGATAAATACCTGTTGCTAATTGTTGGAACTGCTATATCACCTTAAATATGGTACTATACTGAGGACCAGTTCAGTCAGTCAGTGAATCAGAAAATCCCTATTAAGCATTTACTCTGTACATTGTACTCGGTGCGGAGAACACAACAGTCTTTTTTTTTTTTTTAAGATTTTATTTATTTATTTGACAGAGAAAGACACAGCGAGAGAGGGAACACAAGTAGGGGGAGAGGGAGAGGGAGAAGCAGGCTTCCCACGGAGCAGGGAGCCCGACGCGAGGCTTTATCCCAGGACCCTGGGATCATGACCTGAGCCGAAGGCAGATGCTTAACAACTGAGCCACCCAGGCGCCTGGGGAACTCAAGTCTTCAAAGCACCAGCCATGGTCCCTGCCTCATACAGGGTATGGTTTAGTACAGGAGACGGGTATTTATCAAATGATTTCCTAAATAAAAGGAAAATTGCATCTGCTAGAAGGACCATAAAGGAAAGGCATATGGTAATGAGAGGCAGAGATCGGGGAGAAGTGATGATTGAACTGAGATCTGAAAGATAGATGCAGTGGGAAAGACTGAGCATCCAGGCAGGGGAAATGGGCTTCTGCAAAGTCCCAGGGCAGACGGAAGCTTGGTGAGGATGGGAAGCCAAAAGAAGTTTAGCATCCTAGAAAGGAGTGAGCCAGAGGGGAGCCAGTGCAAGCTGAGGCTGGAGAGGAGAAAGAGGCCAGAGATGGCAGGGCCCTGGAGACCACTGGGTTTGCTCCCCAAGGTGGTATGTGGACACCTTGCCCAGTACCTGGCAAATTTCATCCATTTATCCATCCATCTGTCTGTTCATCCACCTCCCCATCTGTCCACCCACCATCCAGTCCATCTGATCTCAATCTGCCTGATCACCCTCCATGGGCTGGCGATATAGGGGTAAATAAAACGACCTAATGTGTGCCTTTACAGAGCTCATGCCCACCCCCACCAGGTGTTCCACTCTTTACTACTTTCACCAAATAATGAGACCTCTCCAGTTCCGGCATGCAAGGATGAATATCCCGCACACTTCACCCTTAATCCACCTCCACCCCCACCGTGATACTTACTTAAAGATGCATCTTCTTGAGTACTTGGAGTACTAGAGGAGTACTTGGTGCTAGAATGGGAATCCAATACAACTGATCTTAGAAATCCCTCAGGAACTACCAACAATAAATCTGCATTGTGCTGTCCCTTATGCCGCATTGGCAAGTCTAGCCACATCCTGGGTAGAGTCATAGGCTACTCCTTCCTTTTGGCAAAGATATTTCTTTCTCCATAGCTTTGCTAGCCCTGAGCACACCATTCTCCCAAGGGAGGACGCTCATGTGTATTTCTACTATGAGAAAACTGTTCTGCTAATCAATTCAACTAAACTTATCTTCGCTCAAGTTAGCTCCGTTCAGTTAGCTGGACTCAGCACAACTCAACCCAGTCCATCCATCCATCTCTTCATCCATCCGCGCTTTCAACAAGTATTTTTGAAGTACTTTTCTGTGTCGAAGTCTATGTTGGGCTGGGGGATCCACCAATGGACTAGCCTCCTCGGTCTAATCTAAATGGTGTATTGTGGTGGAGAGAAGACTGGACTTCGGAAAGGATTGCCCTATGTTTGCATCCTAGTTCTGTCTCATTTCCTGCCTTGGGGAATTTCGGTAGCTTACCTGGGCCACTTTCCTTATCTTAAAGCAGGAATAACAATACCTGGTGGAATTTTGTCAGGATTAAATTCATAGAAGGCACTCAAAAATGGTATCCATTCCAAATGCAATGGGTGAAAATAAACCAATGAACATCACTGGGAAGTTTCTAAATACGGCAAACCAAAGGATCCTATGGGTTTTCATAAAGATAAAATAAGTCAGTTACGAGGATCAGGAAACACATGGACGTCAGACATTTAAAAGCAAAAAGACAGTAAAACAGAGGTTCTCGTCCTGGGTAAGATGGCAAACACACCTATCACTCTCCCATGGATTGCCTTTATAAAACCTGAACAGAAGGATACAGCAACTGTTTGAAGACTCTGAAAAGTAAATAGTAACAGGCAGATTGAGGAAGACAGAATTCAAAGTACAACCAAACCAGAAATGTGAGTATCCTTTTTTCCCCGGGAATACCCAGTTGTGACTCAAAGCAGTGTGACAGCACTGGCAACAACAGCCTGAAGTGCCTAAAAAATTAGGAATATTAGGAATATTATTCAGCAACAAATTATTGATTAATGCAATACAATAGATGACCTGTAGATGCATTTTGCTAAGTGAAATAAGCCAGATCCAAAAGACCGTGATATGATTTAATTTGTATGACATTCTGGAAAAAGCCACACTGTAGGGACAGAAAACAGATCAGTGATTGGCAGGGGATGAGGTTAAGGGAGGGGTTGACCATAAAGGGGTAGCGTACGGGAACTTTTGTGATGGGGAAAAAACATGGTATCCATTAAGTCCTCTCACTTTTTCTTTAATTTCTTTAGACCTAAAGGAAAGACTAAGCAAAAAAAACTACCCAAACTCACCCCAACAGAGGGAAAAGAGATGAACCCACTAGGTGGGGCGGGGCGGGGTGGCACCCACCGTGATACTGGAGTGCTACCCCTTGTTTCTACCCTGACTCACCATGTCCCTCGTATCCCTTTGGACGTCTCTGCTGAATTATTTCTGGAAAATCGCCTTGAAATTTACCTAAGTTACTTGATTGCATCCTGGGCTCAGGCTGAACCTTGATTTTTTGTGTTCAGAATCAGGACTGTGCATTTGAGCACCTCCACATGTTCCTGTGCCAGCCCATCATTCTGAGCCCATTCTCTTTCCAACAGGGCAAAGATACGGGGCATGGAGGGCATGGTGGCAGCCTACCCAGCCCACCAATCCAGCAGAACCTCAGGAACAGCATAGTTAGGGACGTCCTATAGTATTGATAACAGGGGCAAGAGGGAAAAAATGATCAGCAGTACATCCAAGTGTGGGAACCCAATAGAGAAAGTGAAATCACATCAGGGTGAGTTCTCCCCAACCACAGGCATATGCTTTTCCCTCCATAGCCTCGCCTACCATGTCATTAAACATCAGTTCCCATAAGTGTCAACTCTGGTCTGAAAACAAGTGGCAAATGAGTCACAGTGTTGGGCATTCTCAGGTTCCCTAAACTGAGGAAGGCATTCCCTTTATCTCTCGTCGTCCACTGTGCCTAAAATCAGGTCCAGGTTTCTTGTCTAAAAAGGATGCCTCCCATTCAGATGCTGCCCAGAGTCCTCTCACACAGATATTCTCTTCTCTTAGGTACTCGATGGTCTCAGATGCAGAAACAGAAAGCATTTTCATGGAGCCCATACACCTCTCTTCAGCTGTTGCGGCTAAACAGATCATCAATGAAGGTAATGCCATTGGAAGGTGGGGGGGAGCAGGGAGAGTCCATAACTCATCTGGGGACCCTTGGAAAGGGCCCATTGGAAGAGGTCAGTGTGCTTCTCAGATGCTGCCCATCACATTAAGAGGAGAAGATCCAAAGAAGGCAATTCTGCCAACACAACTCATCATCAACCTTCATGAGACAGAGGTTGAAATTATTATGTACCAGTGTGAATAATTCTCTTGAGTCAACCACTGGAGAGGCAGTTCCAATCTGCTCCTATGGCCTCCCATTCAGTTTTTCAGTTAATCTCAGCGATCCTGGGGTGGCTTATACTAGAGACACAGACCTGAAAGCCCAAGAAATGACCAGAAGCACCCAGAGAGTTCTGTTCAAAGGGATATCTAGATTTAGATCTGCATTTCCACTAGTGTTTGAAGATGGTTTTCAATCTGAATTATGTATGAGGAGGAGGTAGGGAAAGGTAGAATGGGGAGGTAGGTTAATATGCACACTGTTAAGTGTTGGAGCAGAAAACATACTATGTATTTCATTCAAGGATATTCATTGTGATTAGATGGATTTTTTTTTAATCAATTTTGGGCAAATTTCTTTTCTCCTCCCTTTGCCCTGGGTGTCTCTGTCACTCCTGTGGGGTGGGGTTGGATATAGCAGCACTGCTAATGACACAGGGACCTGCTGGGCCTTGGGCTTCATGTGGCATCCCCTGCTGGTGGCCATGACCCCTTCCCTGGCCTTTAGCTGTGAGAACCACACATGCTGCTCCTTCTCCATGTAATCTCAGGTCTTTCTCAGTCGCCAGGCCATTTGGGTTCCCACAGGGTCCCTGAAGACACCTAGATCTCCTGTCCACCTTATGAGGAGCCAGAAGTTCCATTGCTGGTGCTTGTGGTATGGGCATCCTCGGAGGCCCCATCTTCTCAAGGAGCTCTCAAGTTTTTTTCTATTTTCTTTTCCCTTCCTACCTGGGGTATCTCTTCCCTCACTCCAAGCCAGGCCTAAGTGGCTTCACCCAGTCTAGATCTCTCTAAATTGATCCCAGCACCACCTTAGCTCTGGACGTTCTTTTCTCCTCCTATGTGTTTGGGAACTTCCCTCGCCTTCCAGCCTGCAACATCCCTGCTCTGTGCTTTACTCTCTGGACCTCTCTCCATGCTTGGGTTCTTGATAAGTGAACAACCAGCTTTAGGGGCTGTGAGAAAGCCATTTCCTCTCTTTGAAAACTTCACTTTCAAGCCTATAGAATGCTATGGATATGTCTACAGGACATTGCACATGTAGATTGAAATCTAAAGCTAAGCAATGCCTTTTTTTTTTCCCCTAGATTTTTATCTACTCTCCCCTTGTCTGAGGCATTAAGCCTAGGTTTCCTTAGTCTTAGTGGCTGACAGGTGGTGGGGGAAGAAAAAATATATGACAGAGAAAGGAAGATGGATCAGGTGATATTTCAAAACATTGCTCTCCTCACTAGTGATCAGAGGGATAAAAATGTGTGTTGAAGAACTCTTCATTTTTATGAAAGTCTGCATATGCCACACATCTGAAAGAGCTTAGAGGAGAAATGTATAGGCTTGGCTCTCTTCTGAAGAAACCTTAGGTAGTAGAAATAAATGGGAGGAATTGATGCAGGGAGGGAGGTAGAGTTGAAACAGGCTGAGGGGTGGGCCAGAGACCTCAAGACCTCCAGAGATCTCCTACAGGAGCTGCCAGTAGAAATGAGGGGCTGGAACATTTGTTTTTAAACTGGAAAGGGGAAAGTCAAGACAACAACCAGCCATATAAATCGCTGAGGAAGACAGTGCTGTATATTTTAATGAGGCATCAGAGCATTTTATCTTTTACATGTAGTAAAGGAGAGATGTCTCAGTTAGGGGAGAGAGGGAGGGAGAGGGGCTTTTGCATTTGCTAGGTAAGATCCCAGGAGAGCCAGGGGAGAAGACTGAGTGGTAGAGAGAAGAGGAACACTTCATCTATTTTTAAACAAAATAGAGCTCTGGGACTGCAGGGCTTTTCTTCTTTCTGCTTTTGAAACGGAGATCAGAGAACATTTAGGGCGGAGATCTGATGCAGGGATATGGGGGCCCATCAGGTGGTTCAGAAGAGGGGAAAGAGAGAGAGGAGCTGCAGGGAAACAGGAAACCGGAGTGCTCAGTCCTGGGTAGAACCCAGAACTCCCAGGACCCGCAGAGCTTGAGCAGCAAGCCAGGCTCACAGACACCTGTTCGTCCTGGGAAGAGCTGGGCCGAGTCTATTTGCCAAATGTGGCTGTGCCTTCCACCCATCAGGGAAAGAGATGGTGCCCGTGCAAGGTTATGGCCAACACAGGCCATACTCCTTGCTTACTTTTTCCCTTCTCTCTATTCAGTATTTTTGGCTCCTAAGTGGTAGGAGCCACTATTCTTGTATACCTTCTCAGAGAAAGAAATACCCGACTTTTCCCCCAACTTTGAACATTGGGAACAGAAATATTAGGAGGAGATAAAGTTTCACTGGAGATATGGGTGAATAGATTTTGAATTCATTTGGTTTGGTTTTTTAAGATTTTATTTATTTTTCAGAGAGAGAGCCCAAGCAGGGGGAGTGACAGGCAGAGGGAGAAGCAGGCTCCCGGCTGAGCAAGGAGCCCGATGCTGGACTCGATCCCAGGACCTTGGGATCATGACCTGAGTGGAAGGCAGATGCTTAACTGACTGAGCCACCCAGGCATCCCTTGAATTCATCTGGAATCTGAGCTTTTCTAAACTGTTGGCAGAAAGGCCCGGAATGCTGCTTTGGGACTAGCAGGGGAGTTCATGGCAAATCTTTGCCACCTGCCAGAAAGTGGAGGGACTGAGACTCACAGGTGCTCATACTCCAGTGGGGAGAAGCCGACAACAAATGAAATAAACAAGTAAATTAAATGTGTATGAGAAAGTGATCTGGCAAAATTCTGAAAGTTTTACTTGTCTCAAGTTATCTGCATTCCACATGAAAGGAGTCAAACTAATAAAGTGAATTATGTTTTGAAAGAATGCCATTGATTCATTTGATAAATGCTTCTAGTTTATGTGGAGCACTGTGGGAGCTGTAGGTGTGAATCAGACATACGCCAGGTACTTAAGGACCTTGGTCTAAGAAATTATCAGCCAACTTTAGGAAAATACAGGAGGGAGTAAGGGAAACCCGTGTGCCTTCACCTATCTACCTATATGGCTGCTGGTTCTGACCTCAAGGATCCAGGCCAAGGCAGGGCCCCCCTGGACCTTCATTAAGTCCTTCCTGGTATTTCAGCCCATGGCCAGAGTCCTAGCAGCATCTGACCTCAAATGCCTTAAATTCTTCTGAGGAACAGGGAGGGCCGTGGTATTCTAACTCTCTAATGGGAGTGCTGCTTGTCTTCTCTAGAATTCAAGACACGGAGGATCAGAGCAGAGGCAGAATGTCCAGGCATACTGGAGTCGGCCGAGCAGCTGCTGGTGGAGGACCTGTACAACCGTGTTAGGGAGAAGATGGATGACACCAGCCTATACAATACCCCCTGTGTCCTGGATTTACAGCGGGCCTTGGTCCAAGACCGCCAGGAGACCCCCTGGAATGAGGTGGATGAGGTCTGGCCCAATGTCTTCATAGCAGAGAAGTGAGTCTGACTGCGGCAGGTCATGACCTTCTGTCCTACCCTCTCGGTGCCTGAGAGAGATGAAACTCCCCCCACTTTGAGCAAAGTCCCCAAGAGCTCCATCCAGCAAATTGAGGTTATCTGATGGGACATTTGGAGCCAGTGATGATACTGACTTTTATATGTATTACCAACCAATGAAAACTTGTACAATAGAATAAGAGGGTAAATAGGTTACAAACTATATGTACATATATATATATAATATAATGCTAATTGAACAATGTACTGATGTGTGTGTATGCACTTCTGCATAGACAACAATTAGACACAATGTGATAAAACGGTGACGATATTCTCTAGTAGATGGTTCTACAGGTGATGTTTTTATTTTCTTCTTTAGGTTTCTTTTGAACTGTACAGATTTCCTAGAGTAAACATTTATTGTTTTCATAATCAGAAAAAAAATGTTATTTTTAAAAAGTCTGTGAGTGGTTTTCAAAACAAAACACGAAACCATTCACTCAGGTCCTATTCTTTCAGGATCTTGTCCATGTATAATTGGCACCGATAGGCTAAGTTGTGAAATTAATTTTTGCTGCTCCATGGGCGACTTAATGAGATATTCTCCCTAAGTAATTACTCATATATGCAGAAGCAAAGCAGGGAATTTGGGGCCCCCATGGCAGCAGGCAGTTGGAAAGATCACTTTGGATGGTGGGGCTCCCACTCCACCAGAAGTAATGAGTTGCCCAGAACCTGGTTCTCGGAGCTGGGCACCAAGTCCTAAGTGATCTCTAGCTAAGCTCTGTAGACCCAGAAACATTCCCATCGTGCTCACCAGGGACCCCAGACACCTGCAGATACCCCAGCTTCTGCTCCGTCTTTGGTAACCTAAGGTCTTCAGGACCTCTTTGAGTGAAACTCCTCTTACTTTGCTGCAGCAAAAAGAGCTCTGAACTAGAAACCAAAAACACCTGTCCTTGTTCAGTCTTTTTTTTCTTTCAGGCTTGGGAAGTCATAAAACCCCCCAGGTTCATTTTTATAATCTTCGAATGGGAATAAAAATAGTTGCCCTGTCTACCCCTTGAGTTTATGATTAGGGATAAAGTTAAAGAATGCATGTAAAAGGACTTTGGAAAATATGACAGGCCATATCAATGTGAAGCACGCCTAATTTTATTATTATTATTGTCTGCTACTTTTGTGTCCTAACGAAGGTCCATTCCCAAGGCAAGGCATTTTAAACCAGAGATCTCTAGACCAAAGATTTCCTGACAAATCAGTCTTGTTCTCCTCTTCATTCTACCCTTCCCTGTCCAGCTCCCTGTCCCTACTTGTTCTGGCCCCTTTTTAGAACCACATTTGCAGTGAGCCCCGGACACCAGAGAGCAGAGAAGGAGGTACTCACCCAGCTCCGGCCTCCCTGACCCAGCCGAAGCAGCCTCCCGGTCTCAGGGGTAATGCACCTTTCTAGCTTGGACTCTGGCAAAAATTGTCTCTGCTTCTCTCCCCCCAGGAGTGTAGCTGTGAACAAGGGGAGGCTGAAGAGGCTGGGAATTACTCACATCCTGAATGCTGCTCATGGCACTGGTGTCTACACTGGGCCTGAATTCTACACTGGCCTGGAGATTCAGTACTTGGGTATGGAAGTGGATGACTTTCCCGAGGTGGACATCTCCCAGCATTTCCGGAAGGCTGCTGAATTCCTTGATGAAGCCCTGCTGACCTATAGAGGTGAGGCGGGGGGTGGGGGGTCCCGCCTGCCCTAGGCTGCTAGAATTTCACAGGGGGCGAAGCAACGTGGGGGATGCCATGAAAACCTCCGGATTATCTGTCTTAAGAAGGTTGTTGTCTCATTCTAAGAGGAGAGGAAAGCAAAGGATGATCATTCATCTTATCAGTAATTACTGAGGGCCTAACACATGCCAGGCACTGTTCTAGGTGCTTGTGGTGAAAGACACAGAAGAAGCCCCTGACCTTCAAATGTCACACTAGAGTGAGGGCAGAGAAAATTACAAAGAAAAACGTCAGATAGTGACAAGAGTGAGGCAGAGACTAACGAGGATGATGTGTTGGAGTGACTGGCTAGCTCCTTGGGGAGGGCGGTTGACAGGTCCTCTCTAAGCAGAGGACATTTAAGCTGAGTGACAAGAAGGAACCAGCCATGGAAAAATCGGAGGAAGAGCATTCCTGGCCAGGGAAAGTGAGAGCACAAAGCTCCTAAATTAGAATAAGCTTGGCTTGTTCAGGATCAGGGGTCCTGATGCAGGTCCTAGTGCGGGTCAGCACGGTGGGTAAGGGTTAGAGTGGCAGGGGCCCCTTCATGCAGGAAATTTTAGGCCAAAGTGAGGGAGCTGAACAGTGCCTTGATCTGATCTACATTTTAGAAAACTCTCTCTCTGCTCTGGTGGGGGAGTGGGAGTGGGAGCTAGGGGAGAAGGGCTGAGGCTGTGGCTGTCATCCAAGTTGCCCCAGGATGACCCGAGACTCAGCTACAGAGTTGATGGGACACCTCAGTAGGGACAGGCGGCAGCCCAAGCATGCCCCGGGGGCGCTGGGAGTTCAGGATGCCAGTCAGAAACCTCGGGCTTCAGTCCGGGCTTTGCTTTGCTCTTTCTATTCCATGGGACCTCAGGCTGTTTCTTTCTCCAGGAGAACCTCAGTTTCCTTGTAAATACAACAAAGTTAAAGAGATGAGATCCTCCTAACTTCACTGTGAGGACTAACATTTTAAAATGCATATAAAAGCTTACTTAGCACAGCACCTGGTAAATACATATGTGTATGTATATATGTGTATTTATAAATATATGTACATATATCTATACATAGAATGTTTTTATAGAGATTTTTATTAAAATGAAATTTATAAATTTATAAATTTTATGTACGTATATATATTACATATGTATGTATATATATGAAATAGTTTTCTCCCCTTTTCAATGCTTAAAACAAACAACAGCCCTTAGAACCTTAAGAAGTACTTGACAGGGGCGCCTGGGTGGCTCAGTCGTTAAGCGTCTGCCTTCGGCTCAGGTCATGATCCCAGGATCCTAGGATCGAGCCCCGCATCGGGCTCCCTGCTCGGCGGGGAGCCTGCTTCTCCTGCTCCTGCTCCCCCTGCTTGTGCTCCTGCTCTTGCTGTCTCTCTCTCTGAAATAAATAAAGAAAAGAAAAGAAAAGAAGTACTTGACATTTCAGGGGGCAGTTCTACTAGTGACTCACCCTAAGGAGGTGAGAAACACATGCATAAGACGTGCTTACAAAGCTGTTACTCATGGGATTATGTAAACTATGATTAGAAACACGAAGTGTGGATTGGTTAAGTCAGTTTTGATATGGGCATAGTCTAGAAAACTCGGCTATCCTTAAAAATGAAAATGGAGCCTTATATTTGCTACTATGAGGGGATGTTTATAACGGATTAAGTGAACAAAACTGAATACAAAACAATACATATGGTTTGACACATTTTTATGCGGGGGGAAAAAAAAAACTCTGCTTTAAAAAATATATTCCTTCTGACCCAACGTGACTTGAGCATGTCTGCAAACGCCCGCGGGGAGGGAATTTCTCGGGTTGCTTCTGCAGCGCAGGCGGCGCGGTGGAGCCCGTGTAGACGCGGCCCCGGGAGGGCGGACCCGGCCCGCAGGACGGTGACTGTCCCCAGAAGTGCGGCGACAGCAAGGGCCACGCGGCGGGAGAAGCTGCCCGGCGCGGGGAGGGAGGCGGCGGGGGCGACGGGCTGCGCGAACCCGAGCTGCGCCCCCGGGGCTGGGAAGGGTCTCCTCGGGGCTTCGAGAACGGAGGTCACACTCCTGCGAGGCCCGGGTGGGCTGCCCTGTGGCCGGAAGCGGTGCGCAGGGCTGCCTGGCGCAGGCAAGGGGGAGACCCCGGTGGAGCCCCATCACCAGCAGGGGCTCGCGCCCCGCCCACCTGCTTCTCTCCTCTGGCTGCTGGCGGTCGGTGGCATTCAGCCTGCCTTCCCTCCCCGCACCCTGCACCCCTGCCAGGCAGGGAAAGGACCTTCTCCTTCCTGGGGTTGCCCCTGGGGTGGTTCCTACTGCAGGCCAGAGGGTTGTCACCATCCCTAAAGCCTTAGTTTCTGTGATTTCCTCTACCCCCCAGGATGCTGTGGACTCAGTTCTTAAGGAGCAGAAAGGCAAAACTAACACCTCGGCGGGGTGGGTTATGTAATAATCACAATAACCACAATGGAGGGTGTTATTTACATTTTACAGTTGGGAAAATCGAGACCCAGGAAAGGTTTCCTGACTTTGCCACTGTGTAATAAGCAAGGTTCTCTTAGTTGCTACTAAGTAGAAACCATGTCAAGGCATTAATTATAACAAAACAAGAAAACTTCCAAAGACGGGAATGTGGCTCCAGGATCATCTGAACAAGGACCTTGCAATCTCTGGACTCTTGGTTTGCATCTTCTCTTTTTCTTTCTACCTCAAATAGTGTGGCCCTCCACAGGCCTGAACATAGACTGGCTAAGCCCCTGCCTCAGTCCCATTTCCAAATCTCCAAGAGAGAAAATTTGCTTGGCAGACTCTGGTCCTTTGTCTACCCTGAATTCTATCCGTGGTGGCAAGGTGGGGAGGGTGGCTTTTAGGCAAGTACTTCTTGTTTTTCTCGAAAATGGAAAGAGGGAATGCTCTGCAGAAAATGAGAATTATGTATTGGGAGAATACAACCCCAAAGCCAGCCGTGTAGAGGCATACTGAGAATGGAAAGAGACCTTTCTTACTCAAGTCCAGTGCTCTCTCCGCTAGCCATACCCTTCAAGCTCTTAGAACAGAGGGACCACATCTAGAGGGACCCTCCCTCCCACAATCAGCTTTGCTGCTAATCAAAATGGTGACGGCAAATTAGAAAAAGACCGCCTTCCTCAAGCCATTTTACTGCTGGAAATTTTTCATCATAACCAAACAAATCTACAAATCTACTCTGACATGGATGTGCAAGGTGCCCCCCGCCCCAGAGTCATGCAGAGCACGATCTGCAGAGTATCAGTGTGGCCTTGTGCCTGACAGAGGACAGTCCTGTCACCCAGGGTCTGATCCCCCCCGCCTCCCCCTTGTCCTCAGGCCGCCCCTGAGGCTCCACAGAGGAATCCCAGGGTGCAGGGAACACAGCAGGGAAAAGCATGGCACCCCCAACCTTGTGTCTGCCAGATTGAGTCTAAGGAGCATTTGCTGCCATGTCCTCACGAGGTAGCTTGGCTAGTTGTGCCTGACGTGTCCTGAAGTGAGCTGGCCGGGTCACTCCACCTCCAAGGGAAGGAAGGGAGACTTTGGTGTTGACAGTAGTAAGTGGTGGCCTGGTCAGCCAGTTAAAGGGGGGGGTCCTTGGTGAGGGACAGCTGAGCGCAGAACTGGAGGTGGGAGGAGATGAGACAGTAAATCTGTATATGCACCTGCAGCAGGTTTATTCTGCCTGCTTACCTCCCTCTAGTGATTGCTGGCTGTTGGCAGCAATGCCTATCAGCATTATTGGGCCTCAGGTCCCTTCTGGTGTTGCCTTGGTCTCCGACCTTCTGGGTGACAGACATGGTCTTCACTGATGCAAGAGGTACTGATAAAAGTCACCCCCTACCCATCCCATATTGTTAGCTAGGACTCTTAAAAGATTTAACAAACATCCCCAAAGACTGTTGGCAGATAGATTGATGGCAGTCTGGAAGGACGTCTCTGTGGTCTGGGCTGTGTTGTAAAGAGCCATCAGAACGAAGGCATAGAAGGCTTGTTTGTCAGGTTTATGAAGGATTCAAAGCAGAAGATGAGGCCAGGGGATAACCGATTTATTGAATGCTGGAGTCAAGACTTGGTAAAAGTTTCTATTAGGCTATAAGAACAGGTTATATTTACCAAAAACATTAATAGGAATTTGTAACCTTATCCTTATGTTTTAAAAATGCTACCAAAAAAAAAAAAAGTGACGCATGACTGAATAGCAGTTTTTTGAAAAACCTTTACAGGTTTCAGTTGATATAAAAGATAACCTGAGTTCATTTTAGGACATATCCATCCACATTGCAAGCTTAAATGGCATCAGGGAAGGCTCCGTGCCCAGAATGAGAGTGGCGAGAGGCCTCTGTGTGGATCAGTCCAAACCTGAAATATACTTGCTCCATCCTGACACAGACTCCTAAGGAAAAAAAAAAAAAGAATATAAAGTTTGATTTGCAAGTTTGGCTAGTAAAGGAATGCGACGTGAGAAGACGTCAGAATAATGATTGGGAGACCCAGAATAGCCAGGAAAAGGGAAAAAAAATCAATGAAGAATATGATAGTGATCTTCTTACATGTTTTTGTATAAAAGGCCTGTTCATACAGATGTTCGTTATTGACCCCAGAATGTCAGAATGTCAGAGGAGGAGCTCGGGATGCTCATTACAGAGCGTTATACTTTGCTCTAATATGTGAAGGAAGTTTCAAAAGAGTAGATTGATCTAAATATGGAGTGAAGGGGGCGGTGTGTGCGCGTGCGCGCGCGCGCGCAGGGACACATGCGTGATACTGAGCTCCCCATCACAGGAAGCACCCAGTCTCTCTCCTGGATGGTGGATGATCCACATCGAGGATGTTGTAAAGGGACTGCTCAAGTTTTGACCATGCCTGTGGTGTTCTCCCACACCGACAGTCCCGTGATTCATTCATCTTAGCCTCACTTCTTTTCTTCTCTGTCCCCCTTTCCCCCATTCTTTCATTTCTCCTCCCTCCGATATTCAGTTTGGCAGGAAGAACGTAGAAATGCACTCGAGTGTTTCAAAAGTGGGGACACGTGTTGGCTCCCTTTCCCGCCCCCCCCTCCTCCCCCCTGCCGGCGTTCAGGCAATGTGGATGCTTGCAGCAGGGCAGGGCACCTGTCCGCCCTCTCTGGGGGCAGTGATGCTCGTCCCTCACGGGACCTGAGCGCAGATGGACTCCAGAGGCAAATACAGTAAATGCAGCACATCTAAACAGTACCTTTTAACAGCACTTTAACAAGAACTTTTATAAGGCAGCCACTGTGGCTACATTATTGTCCTGTGCTTTCTTTCAGGGAAGGTCCTGGTCAGCAGCGAAATGGGCCTCAGCCGGTCGGCCGTGCTGGTGGTGGCCTACCTGATGATCTTCCACGACATGGCCGTGCTGGAGGCCCTGATGACTGTGCGCAGGAAGCGGGCCATCTATCCCAACGACGGCTTCCTGAAGCAGCTCCGGGAGCTCAACGAGAAGCTGATGGAGGAGAGAGAGGAAGCCTACAGCCAAGAAGGGAGGACAGATGAGGCTGAGGAGGGCGGAGACATGGAGAGCAACGACGGGGCCAGAGTGCAGGGCCTCACCGTGCAGGAGGAGAGCGACACCGCCAGCCTCCTGAGCGGCTCCTCCTGGGGGAAGGCCAGCCAGGCGTCCAAGTCCCTCACCCTCATCGACGAAGACGAGGAGGAGAAGCTGTATGAGGAGTGGAGGAGGGGGCAGGGCCTCCCCCCAAGCAAGGGCCCCCCGGGGGGAAATGGCGGGCGGCCAGCCTCTGGCCAGGGTAGGGAGGAGCCCGAGGACGGGGCAGTGGACCGGAGGATCCAGGAGTGGCAGAGCCGGAACGAGCGGCTGCAGGCGGGAGGGCTTCGGAGGTGGGAGGGGGCGGAGGCCGAGCGGGAGGCCGGCGACGCCGGCTGGTTCGGGAGGCGAAGCCCGCGGCACACGCTGAGCGAGAGCCGGCCCCCGGAGAGCGTCAGCGGCCGCGACCTCCGGGGCCCGCAGCCGCCGCTGGAGACAAGCGGCCAGGGCGGCGGGGCGGCGGGCCGCTCCGACTCAATGTCCACGGACGGCACGTGGGACATGTGGACCCAGAGGCTGCTGGAGATTGAGAAGGAAGCCTCCCGTCGCTACCGCTCTCGGAGCACGACGGAGGCGGCGGCCACAAGCTCGGAGGGGGCGAGCAGCGTGCGAGCGGAGGACGAGGAGAGCGTGTCTTCGGAGGCCTGCTCTTCCTGTAACTTCTGCAGCAGGACCCAGGACAAGCTCACTGCCCTGGAGAGGTGGAAGATCAAGCGAGTCCAGTTTGGGTTTCACAAGAAAGACTTGGGGGCAGAGGACAGCAGCAGTGAGCGAGCCGCCGAGGAGGCGGAGAGGGAGCCCAAGGGCTCCGACGTGGACCTGACGGCCTACCGGGCCTGGAAGCTGGGGCACCAGAAGAAGGTGGGCGGCGACAGCAAGCAGGAGGTGGCGGCGCTCGGCAAGGGAGAGGACTCGGCCTCGGCCAAGAAGAGGCAGCGGAGGCTGGAGCTGCTGGAGAGGAGCAGGCAGACGCTGGAGGAGAGCCAGTCCATGGGAAGCTGGGAGGCAGACGGCTCGGCCGCCAGCCCGAGCATCCCCCGGTCCGCCGTCTGGGCGGCAGCCCCCTCGGTCAGCGCCGAGGACGCGGCCTCGGTCCTCAGCGCCCAGAGCCACGGCTCCCGCCGGTCTCAGGCTGGAAGCCACGCAGGGGGGTGCTGGGCCCCGACCGCCGGCACCGCGCTGCCTGACCTGCCCGTGGGGCCTGGGGACACGGTCTCCGTCGCCAGCATTCAGAACTGGATCGCCAACGTGGTCAGCGAAACCCTCGCCCAGAAGCGAAACGAAATGCTCCTGCTGTCCCGCTCGCCGCCCGCTGCGAGCACGGAGGCGGCCCGGGCCCCCCTGCTCAGTGGACGCGGCAGCCCCGCGCCGGGCGGGGGGACCAGCAAGCCGCTCTACAGCCTCTTCGCTGACAGCGTTGACCTGAAGGAGCTCGGCCGGAAGGAGAGGGCGATGCAGATGGACCTGAGGGACAAGATGTCCGAGTACAAGATGGAGAAGCTGGCCTCCGACAACAAGCGGAGCTCCCTTTTCAAGAAGAAGAAGGTCAAGGAAGAGGAGGGTGATGGCGTGGGTGACAGGGATGAGGACACCGACAGTGCCATAGGGAGCTTCCGGTATTCCTCCCGCGGTAATTCCCAGAAGCCCGAAACGGACACGTCCTCCTCCCTGGCTGCGTCTGATCGCTGCGCCAGTTCCCAGAGGGCCGGCAGAGAGATGCAGGGCAGCATTACCAAGTGGCTCAGCGGCCTCGGGACAGAGGACAGGCCTCCTCCCCCAAGTGATTGGTCTGCAAGCGCCAGGGGGAAGTACACCAGATCTTCCCTGCTCCGGGAGACCGAGTCCAAGTCCTCCAGCTACAGGTTCTCCAAATCGCAGTCGGAGGAACAGGACACTTCCTCCTACCAGGAGGCCAATGGCAACTCTGTAAGGAGCACTTCGCGGGTCTCTTCCTCCTCTACCAGGGAGGGCAGAGCGGTGCACAGATTCTCCAGGTCAACGTTCAGTGAGACCTCAAGCTCCCGAGAGGAGAGCCCAGAGCCCTACTTCTTCCGCCGGACCCCCGAGCCCTCCGACGGGGAAGAGTCCCCGGAGGCGCGGCGGCCGAACTGGGCCAGGCCCAGGGACTGGGAAGATGTGGAAGAGTCGTCCAACTCGGACTTTTCTGAATTTGGAGCCAAGAGGAAGTTCACGCAGAGCTTCATGAGGTCCGAGGAGGAGGGAGAAAGAGAGAGGATGGAAAACCGGGAAGAAGGGAGGTTTGCTTCAGGGCGGCGGTCCCAGTATCGGAGAAGCACTGACAGGGAGGAGGAGGAAGAGATGGACGATGAAGCCATCATTTCGGCCTGGAGACGCCAGCAGGAAGAGACCAGGACGAAGCTGCAGAGAAGGAGGGAGGATTGAGCTGGGGCAAGGCGGACCTGGGAGAGACCGAGAACATGGGAAGAAGCCACACAGCTTAGCACAGGGCTCGGGGCACACCTGGCCACCGCCCATCAAGGCACAGGGGTGTGGAGCGGATCATCATGAGGGGCAAAGCCTCCAGGAGAGCCGTCAGGGTGAGGTCTGAATGCTAAGCCAACTGACCCCATTTTCTGTTGCCCGATGCCCTCTTAGGCTTTGACTCTTCACTTCTGTACCCAGTAGCGTTCGGCACTGACGGGAGAGGTGAGCTCGCCGTGCCACCCTAGCTTGTCAGAGATTCCAGCTCACGTCCGGGAAGACGGAATGCAGGACATGGCTCTGTTGGTGGAGGTTTTATGAGACCCAGGAAATTTATCCTGTGCCAAGTCTCACCTCTCCTGGCAAAGCTGAGTTCTGGGTGTTTTTTTAAATGTTTGGGATCTCCATTAAAATGGCATGTTGTCTAACATTTCTCCTTCATTCTGGTCACTTTTAGCTCTTTGAACCCACCTTAAAAGACACAGATGGGTGATCATGAATCAGCCTCACCTTGTTCCATAAATGCTATGTCTCCAGACAATACCACTGTCATCACCTTAAAACAGTGATCAAATATTTCGCCTATGACACAGTGTAGCAGGAAGACCCGAGGAAGACCCATGCGAGTTAACAGGGAATTAGAGGGAGATCAGGTTTTATTGTGCTGAGGGTGGTGAGACCTAGGCAGAGAGGAGGTCCCCGAACAGCAGAGAAACAAAAGCAAACTATGGGTTGGGGAATAGGGGAGAAGAAAAGAAGCCCAATACAAGGAGATGGAGATGTGGTTTTATGAAAGCTTGCCGTCACCCTTGCTTTTCATTCCTTGGAGGATGGTACCATGGGAGAGACTCCAGTACAGGGCTCCCCTTCTTGCTGGATTCCAGTTAGGTTTGGCATGAAAGTTACTAGCATGAGATCACAATCTAGAAAGAGGGAGAGGTCAGGGGTATTTGTCCCCTGTACTCCTGTGCCAGGTTGTCAGTGGCCCTTGGCCCACAGTTGTGGCTCTTGCCAGGCTCTGCAAACAGCTCCTTCACGTTGTTCCTTCAGCCCTCGGGTGCTATCAGTTTCTCACATTGCTAGTATCTGGGAGCTTTACTCTTCCTTCTTGTTCCCTTAACCCTGCCCATGCCTCTGTGCACAGTTCCTGCGTTAAACTCTCATCCGTTTCCAACTGGGGCATGTCATCTACTGGGACCTTTACAGACACAACACATACCTTTGAATGTCAGAGTCCGGAAGGCTGGAGTGCAACCTATCATCCTAGATTTGGTCCAATTCAGAAGTCATAGTTGTGATCCTAACACTCTAAAATCTCTTCAAGCTCATCAAAAATCACATAAAATTTCTATTGACGTGCTTTCCCAAAATAATGTCTGAACTCCAGGAATAAGCTGAATTCAGAATCCCAAATTCTCAGACAGACACCTCTCTGAATACAGGATCCTGAAAGAGCTCTCCTTGGAGACACAGCAAGCAAAGGCCTCTCTCCAGGGCTTGACCCTGCCCCTCTCTGGTTTCTTCACAGTCCTGGAGTGCTGGAGAAGAGCAGAAAGCAGATCTGAAGGGGCAGAGAATAACCAGCACAGAGATGGTTACGTTTAAATGGTAAGGCCATGTCTGTTAGAGCCTCCCCAGTAATGTTGTTCTAAATGACTGAGAACACTATGCACTGACCATAAGGTCGATCTACTCTTAAGAATTAATTAATGATTGGAACAGGGTTTTAGCTACACAAAACCAACTAATAGAGCCAGTAATTTTGTTTTACGGGAAAGAAAAAGAGAAGACAGATCTGACTCTGCGTCCTTCGTCTAGTCCTGAGTTGTGTAGAGCTCACTAGGAGAAAACCCCCACAATAAGGGGAGAATAGTGTGCAGAAGGGGGCCCCACAAGAGGGGAAATCCTGCACAGAACTCTGAGGTGGGGGGTGAGAACGAGAGAACAGAATTTGCCTCAAAGGTGAGGCCCTGGAGGGTAAATGAAAACTTGGAGGCTGTGAAGAAACAAGGAATATGGGAAGCGTACCAGAACGAGAGGGCACACCCAGATTAGGGTAGTTCAAAGGGGAGATCCATAAAGGAGTCATTTACAAAGCTGTGGGCGAGTGTAGAGGGATAGTGTGCACCCCAGGGCCAGGGGTCACATCCCTGGGCCAAAGAGGCAAGCGCACGGAGCTGTTACCAGAACCCTAGAGACAGAGAGGGCTGGCTGTGTGGGGAGGCTGACTCACAAGAGCTGATGCCTTTGATCCAGGGAGCCAGCCTGGCCGGACCCCACGGGGAAGGAGCCAGAGGACTTCGGGCTCCAGTCTCCTGCCCGTCTCCCCACAAACCAAAACCCAGAGGCCAGGGAGTTGGTGCATGCGGTGCCCCTGATCAGCCTCATGAGCACAGAGGAGGGTAGGAAGGCCTGGGCGTGGGGTTGAAAGGGCCAACGGAAGACTGCAACAGCAAAGGCAAAATTTGGGGCCAGTGCGCCAGTGATCCTGTGACATACTGTTGATGCTGGGTTAGGAAGACTCTGCCTTTGGTGTTAGGAATGTTACCAGAAAAGGTATATGCATTTCTCTGGACTCTCTGAAACCTTTACACCTGGTGTGGCTAGGGAGAATTAGTAACCAACAACAAAGGAGGCGTCTAGGCTCAGTAGTGTGCCAGATCCATCCGAAGAGCGTCGTTCACGGAAGCTTCAGACCTCACGGCCACGTGTGTCCCCTCCCGGTCCCTCTTGTCTGTAGCTGGGCCAGGAAAGGCTGCCCATCACATTTGCCCCCTTCGTTCTAGTCCCCTCACGGCTCCCCAAACCAGGCCCCCCGCCCACCACCTGGCCGTCACAGCTGCCTTCCTAACCAGTTTTGGCCTCACCTCTTTGCTATCCAGTCTAGAACCAAACTAATCTTCCCAAGGTTCCTAATTCTGGTTCTTTCTATTCCTCTGCTTAAAAACTTCAGTGATCCCTACTGCCTATAGAATGAAGCTTAAATTCCTTCCCTTGGCCTTCGAGGGCCCCCTTCTCCTTCATGTCCAGCCCTATCGTTGCTCCCCTCGCGAGCCACACCTCCCACCGTGTGTGAGCAGCACGCCGGTCCACACCCTCTTCTCGCGCTCCTTCTTAGGCTGTCCTCTCTGCCTCGGGCGCCCCATCAGGCGTTCCCCCTCCCTGCTGCGGCCCCACCACCCTCCAAGTTTCTCCTCTGCTGCTAACCCTCCTCCAGCCTCCCCGGCCACACGAGTCTCTTCCTCCTCTGAAATCGCACAGCGTTTTGCTTGCACTTGTCTTTGATGCTTACCCCAGTCTGCTTTTTATTACAGGAATTTGGTACATAAGGACAAGAATGTCTTTTAGGATTAATGTGGGGTTATAATTAAATAAGATATTATTTTAATATATCTAGACAGGTGATGGCATACGCAGAATTTAGTAAGTTGTACATTGTTACGTGTAATTCTATAATAACAATGTGATTACTGTTATAATTATTATAGACACAATGTGGTAAAGTGGTTAAAAATACAGCTTTGGGTGGCTCAGTTGGTTAAGCGACTGCCTTCGGCTCAGGTCATGATCCCGGAGTCCCGGGATCGAGTCCCGCATCGGGCTCCCTGCTCAGTGAGGAGCCTGCTTCTCCTTCTGACCCTCTCCCCTCTCATGTACTCTCTCTCTCTCATTCTCGCTCTCTCAAATAAATAAATCTTAAAAAAAAAAAAAACAGCTTTGGAATCCAATGGAAAAACAGCCAACACTTTATTAAGTGTTTACCATGCTCCAGGCACGACGCTAAGAGCTTTAGCATGGATTATCTACTTCTCTTCAAAATCTTACCTTTTACTTTTTTACTTCATTTTTTGAAGCATATGGTGTGCTTAACACAGTGAGAGGCACTGGAGATTCAGGAGAAATAAAGAGAGATGAGAACTTGCCCTCAAGGAGCTAATAATTTTATTAAGGGAGATAGGCGGTAAACAAAGAATTTTGAACATTTAGAGTATTATTTGTTTATTTATCATCCACCTGCCTATCTGTCTGTCTCTACCTACTAAAATGCAAGCCCTGGGGTGCCTGGCTGGCTCAGTCAATGGAGCATGGGACTCTTGATCCTGGGGTCGTGGGTTCGAGCCCCAGTAGGACATAGAGCTCACTAAAAAAATAAAATAAAATAATAAAATGCAAGTCCCATGGGGGTGCCTGCAGTTCACTGATGTAGCTCCACACCTAGAAGCCAAACCTAGGATAAAAGGTCTTCTTAACAACCTTGTGTTGTGGCTGAAGAGAAACCAGCCCAGTAACACAGTGGAAACAATGGTGGGTAGGGAGTGCGGTGGCCATAGGGTGATAAGGAGAACATTTTTCTGAGGAGCTGAAACCTAAACAATGAGAAGGAGTCAGCCCGGTTAGGACCCTGAGGAAAGACATCCCCTTCGAAGAAACTGACGGAGACACTGGGGCTTAGTGGGGTGAAACCATGAACGACCCGAGGCCATATGGCAACTCGAAGTCGAAGCCAAAATGCAAACTGAGATCTGATTTCAGAGACTACACACTGCACAGAGTAGGTGATGTCTGTAAGGTGCTTAGGGCAATGCCTGGTCCATAATAAATGCTCAGTAAGCATCTTTTACAACCACTACTGGATTGGAAGTTTTTAAAGCAGTCTTGTCTTAAAAGCATAGAATTATTGCTCAGCTAGTTACTTAATGATTCAGCATGGATCATTTTTAGGATGCAAAGAAGTCCGTTTCTGTTTAGTGTCAGAGTGATCTCTTTCCTTTCTTCTCCCCCTGATGAGTGAGCCAGACAGTCAGGGGGTGATGGGAGAGAGAATGTCCCAGATACTCGAGGCCGGACACTGACACCAACGGCAGAAAGCATTTCTCTCCAAGTCACAGTGACACTGCAGTCGCCCCAAAGGAGGCCAGTCTTGACCAGTGTCCACACTGTCTGAAGTGGAGCAGAAGCTGGTGCGGAGAGCAGGGAGGGGAAAGCAAAGCCAATCCAGAAGCCGTCAGAGTTATGACAGGTCCCAGCCCAGCTCTGGGCCAGCCACAGCCAGCCTGCTTGGACCTCACTCACAGGAGGCTGCTAAGAGCTGTTGTGGGAGAAGTAGGCATTCCTCAGAGGAACACAGAACAACAAAGGCCCCTGCAGCAGGCAAAAGGGCAGATGGCAGGCATGACTCACTGCCCTTTGCAGGACTTTAAGAAGAGTTGGCTTAAATGGATCATCGCCTTATTAAAGTTACTGGAACAAGAAGACAATGCAAACAAGCCCTCAAACAGGAAGACAGTTCCTGTTCCTGGCCCTGGTGGCCCCAAAGACAGACACCCCCCTGCCCCGCTCTTCTTTTGGAATTGCATTTAGACAGGCAGCTGACCACTTCTCGGCCTGGTCCCATTTAGCCCTGCCCACCA